AGATCGATAAAGTCACAAATTAATTAATGCCTATCGTAAAGCTGTCCGGAGTTGTCGACTATCGTACGGGAAAGTGACGAATATAGGCAAATATTTATCGACAGCTGATGTACAAGACGGTGACTGTCCATTCGAGGGAAAAAGAATGAAACAGCGCGACGATAACTCGGCAATAAACGATGCGAATGTCCAATCGAGCAGGTACCGTAGGAATGTTGTTTCCGACCTTGTAGAATAGCACGAATGTATGGCCGAAGATGCAAAAGAAACGACCTCGAGTTAGCAAGTCGAGTAATTACCCACTACATGGCGGAGGAGTCGCATCCTTAGATAAACAGGATCTCTCCTTGCACCTTCTCTCATTAATTTTGCTCCGGATATTCGTTTCTATTTTTTTTAATATCTAACTTTTTTTAATATTCTTGAAAAACTATATAATATAGTATAATATAATACAAGTGATATGTCTTAATTAAAGCATTAAAAAAACTATGCTTTTCTTTAATTTGACTGTATTGCGACAGGTACTTGAATAATTACTGCAAATAATAGTATAATTAAATCGAGATGTAGATATAGGTGTATCCGTGTCATATAATTTTATGATCATTCATAATTTCGATTTACCTTATTATATCTAGTATATAAAAAAGCGTTTCTCTAACGCTTCTCTAACATAGTGAATGTCAAATGATTATGATGCTAATACAACGTAACGTCTCGTGGATAATATATAATCAAGGTTGATCATTAAAATTGCGCTCGCATAACTTAGGTCGCTATCTGCCCAATTATTCGAGTGGGTTTTGCTATCTCGATTGATATCTATCTAACAACCATGAAAATCATACTTTATGATTATTCGTTATTTATGATCCTGTTCCAACGATAATAAAAATCCAAACATTAGTAACAAGCTAAGAAGTTATCAAGGAATCTGACTGAATGATACATCATCTACTGCGTGATATAGGTAGTATCTTTAATCTACTACTGTTACTCAATGATTAATTCAGTTCGAAAATGTATCAAAAGAATATGATTTATACTTGTTTTTAAATTACCAAAAATTACGTTTAATATTTTTAAAAGTCTGCGCGAAAGAAAAGAACAAAAAATAATGCAGTAAGTTCCTCGATCTGAACACACAGCGTGCATAAAGGCGATTAAAATTAAGCGAAAAAGCGCATACCTCGGTGGAACTCCAGCGGGCAAATAATTTGTCTTTGAGTATTAATTTGAAATTTATAAAACCGCAATCGTACAGTTGAGTGCGCGGCCGAGATACATAATGCGCCACACACGCACACACACATCGAAATCTCGCATTAATATAATCCTTCTCACCCTGGAAGAGAGACAAGTCGCTGCGGTCCAGGCGAAATAGCCGGCATTTAAGCAAAACGATTAGCATAGCAAACTCGCGCTAATACGTGTATAAACGAATGCAGCATGCGCCGAAGGATAGTTGCGAATGCAACGAGTGCATGTGCAGTGAGCCTCCAAAGGCGAATAACGGGTGCAGCGTTCAGGGCCTTTTTCGCGTATCTCTCTCTTTCTCTCTTTCTTAATCGCTCTATACAATCACTTCTCATATTATATATTTATAATACATTCATAATTATCATACACGAGGCCGGAGATTGATTTTGCAACGGCGACGACATAATCCTGCTTAATATGATCGATCAGCAGTAGCAGCAGCCTTGATACCAAGAGGGTGCTATCAGATGTTATTGCAAACTTGCAAATAAGCTCGCGGTAATTTTGTCATGAATTCGCTGAACGCTCTAATGCTATTCTATAAGCGGACTTTTAGCAAGTGGTCGCGTGAACGGATGCTTCTAGGGCAAGGTGATTGGCTTGAGAAAAACAACCTGTAGTCGTGTTCGTATAATCATTAGTGGTATCTACATTAGAATCCAGAACAAACTGTCTAGATTTCGTAAAAAAAAAAAAAAAAAAAAAAAAAACCGATAATATATTTGCTACAAATTTAGTTATAATAATATCTAAAAATAATTTTGTTGGACCATCAAAATAATTATGTAGAACGCTCAAAAACTGGTTGCTAGAATGTCATAACTTTTTGCAATATTGTTCAACATGTTTGAGATTCCTACGTAAGTATTTTGATGGTCCAATAAAATTGCTTTCAGATCTGTAGCTACCTAAATTTTTAGATACTTCAGTAAATCTATGTACGATATACCGGTTTTAACATGACTGAAAAGATAATAAAAAATTTTGAACATGTACAAATTGATTAATTAAGATTTCAATTTAGATGGCGAGAACGTGAATCTTTATTTGGTTTAGATTATTTAAATTATTCGAATACTCGGAATAACAGAAACGTAAAATAATATCCACATTGGCGACGCGATCGCGGTAGGAAATTTACTCAAGGTCGCTTTACTTTTCACCCCGCGTCGCCGTTCCTCGTTCGATAACTATCGATCGCGTATAACCGATTCTAGATTCGATCTGGTCCAGTATCTAGATCCGGAGTGTGCGCACGCACACGAGTTCCGTTTGAATGAGTCAGACTCGTCACGATCGTCAAATGAATAAAAATCGATGTTAATACGCGCGTAATTCGAAGCGAACAACTGCAATTATGTCTATCTATGTAATCGAGAATATTAAATGTGCCTATATAGTTACGTGCGTTTACTTCCGAGATTTATCATTTAAAGCAGAAAGACACTACTCGCCGGAATTGAAATCTCTGGTAGATACTCTGGCAGATGCTTTCTATGAAATAACGTAATTGAAAAGAATTTTTAGATTATTTATAGGTATAGATTTTTTAATTTTTTAAAATATATAATATTTATTAAAATATGTATCTATATGTATATAGAACTATCAATTTAATTTTTCATTTGCAATTTTTAATGCAATTTTAATGTAGATTCTGAATTTCATTTGATTAGTAAGACACCACTGTCTACGTATTAACGATTTCGGTCCACAGAATTTGTGGAGAAAGCGTAAGATTCTCGTCACATCGAAGTGACATGATCTCGTATTTGTACAGACAGAAGCAAATAATAAATCAAACAACGCTTAGAGGAAGTCCGGGTATCGTCTTGAAAAGAAAGCAATGAACCCAGATTCAAACTCGTCTAGGTATTAATTAAAAAAAAAACGTTGTGTCATTAGACAAATATCAATTTCTCACTTATCGATAACGATATCCAATGTACATAACATCGTGTTAAATTATGCATGAATGGGGAAAGTAAATTCAGGGAAAACTCTCTGTGAATCTACGAATCTCTTCGATTAGCATTCAAACTCACACACAAACATTAGCGATTTGTAAACTGTTTGCACTAGTAATACTTTTGCATCAATAAATCTCGATTGTTTGAGAAAGTTACGTAGAAGTCGAAAAGTTCAAAGTCGATTCCGATGTATGTTTAACACGATTATTAAAGAGATAAGTACGATATCGCGTGAGAAATGAGACACAGACCTTGCCGGTTATTTTTGCGCTGTTGCAAAATTTCGCATTATCGTTATAGATGTACGTACGGAAAAAAAAAGAGCGAATAACCTCGTAAAAGTATTGATTATGATTTGTCATACGACTTATTGAACGTGAATACGGCCTTGCCATCGTAATCCATGATGCGTTATACATGCGATAGAAAAACGCAGCAACCTCGAAAAAGTATCGATTAAAATCTATTAGTGTGCGATCTTAGGGAAAAAATACAGTTACGTGATGAACGACGAGTTCTCGCGAGCTATAATTTGCGAAGCAGACGGATATATCTGAGGTATATATTAAAAAATTGTTACACGTCGATTCCAGCTAATATTACACACTCGAGAATGACTGCAGTCGATAATTGTAAGTTTCAGCAAACGCGATAAAACCGTTTACAGTTATTTATTTCTATCTTATTCTCATCGCCGTGGAATATATGCAAATACAATTTTATTCATCAAGTAGAAATGTACGTGCAAAAAAACATTCGCGAGAGAAAAGGGGTGGTGCGAAAATAATTTTGCATAACGTTTAGCAAGAAGGAAAGATGCTATTTGTCTTTCGTCTGTGAGACGAATGAGAATTGCCGGTTTCTCCCAACCGCTGCGTCTTCCTATAATCGAAAACAGCTGACTCGTGACCGGCTACTTCCTCGTAATCTTGTTGGACTCACGCTTTTTCAGCAGATTAAATTTTTTGCGCTCGCTGTAAGTGCCATAGGTCTTGTTGTTGCATCAGTTGCTTGACTCGAATCGATTCTTGATCTTATGCAAATTTATGTATATCGGGCAATGAACAGATTATTTCTTTGTGTCATCTTATTATGACTTATTTGCTCACTTTGAGAGAAAGAAAACTCTCTGTTATGAACAGATTCGCAACGGCCGAATAACATCAAGATTTTATCACTTATTTTGCAACGCAATTGAAATGTTTGTGTACTATTTATATGTTTTACATATAAATTTGTTTAAGATATTTCTTTTTATTATTCTAATAAATGGCTAGATTTGGCGAATAACTTAACAAAATAAGTATCAAGAGTTTGTTCCAGACCGGTTTTAGGTTACTGAAGTAGAACACGTGAAAAATTCTAGAATCAAACACCCATACAAAATGTGACCTCGACAATTAAATATTCATTAATATGATATTGTGACAAGGTCAATAACATTGCGTAAAGAGCGCATTTACTTTCTCTGCGCGAAGACTCTTCTCCATTTCGCCGGGCCTACGTGAAAATTTCACTTGCGTTCGTCTCCGGTTATTAAGATTGAGAAAGAGCGGAACCGACACACATGCACCTTTAAGCGATTTTCTGATGCAATTTTTTTATCCATTTCGAAATGTGCCGTTAGCTAGAGAAAAATCTCGAGAACCTAACTACAAAAGCAAACATGAAACACTCACTACGTATAGAAATTGTACAATTAAGCCAGAGTGCATGGCGTAGTAGCCGTGAGACACTCGTGTCTTTGTAATAAATGCAAAGTGCACGTAATTTCACATAATTCGATAAATAATATACTGTGTTGCATGTACAACAAGATCAAGTTCTGCAATTACGTTTGTCGAAATATATGAATTCATGGTTGAGAAACCAGGATGACATTTTCAGCGACATTCGTACATGTAACATTCGGTGATTTAAATGAACGACTGAATTCCCGCGTTCTTTACTAAGGTCTTTATGATCGAACCTGTTGCTCTTGACATGTACATGAAGAGAACAATAGAAGCACTTTGACAGTAGCAAATGTAAAAATTTTTTACGAATAGAGTGGCAGATTTATCAAACACGATTTTTTGATTGAGAAACATAAATATATAGAAACAAAGTAGTATTTTATATAAAAACTTTTTTTATATAATATTTAATATTTTGCGGAACGTTCTTCTTGTACTTATAATTATTGTACTTATCTAGAAATTATATTTATTTAAAATTATATTTATTTTTTGTATAACTGACACTTTCCAAATTCTCTCTCTCGATTTTTGCAATACTTTTTAACAACTTTTGAATTACTTTTATCGTTATTTTAAAATAAGACTCACCTCAATACTGTAAGATTTCTTGATGGCGAACATTTCGCGGTTCTTCTGAGCGGCTGCGACTGCCATCATATCTTCTTTATCACTCCTCTTTTTCTCTCTTTGCTCGATGATGGTCAATCGACTTGGGCGTCTTTCAATCGTCAGTCCTCGGCCTGATAGTGCTCACTGGACAATGCAGATGTAGATGATGTGCGTGAGCTCTTCACTGCCGCTTGTGAGAAATTACACGAATGGATTCCCCGTTGAGCGCGCGGTTTCCGACTTTAATATCCCGATGTGCTTCGGCTACGTCCTCTTCAGCCTCGATCCGTCCGATCTGCTACGGTTCGACTACGATAAACGACGAGGACGTCGGCGACGACAACGAGCCTCTACTACTTAAGTCCGCTTTGGACGGAGCGTACGAGCGAATGCGTCTACGGGGCGGATTGCCGCCGCATATAAACGTTGCCTCCCTTCACCGCCTGCTAATGTCGGGGTCAGGGGTGCCCCCACCCTATCGTCGTTTCGGGTGGTCCACCAGCAGCAGCAGCAGCCGCCGCTACCACCACCGCCGTCGCCGTTACAGCCGTCGCTGCCGTCACAGCGCCGGCTGGCACTGCCATTGACGAAGACCACGTCGATCATGAGGGGATTCCTTGCCTAGTTGCTGATACTTTCGTATCTCGTATTGGATATCCCGTAGGGGACTATCGCACACCTCTCATTCACGATAACGGAATGTCCCATTACGCAGGCGATGATAAGAAGTTACCAAATAGGGGTTCTGACATAGTTACAAGTAATTGATCTTTCCCCATGTACTGTTGAATTTGCTAACATGTTCGGTATAATGCTTTACAGAGAATAACGCATTGTCTGAGAACATTTCTGCAAGAATATATTGAATATAACTATACAAATATATTATCTCGATATTAAGATTAATTACATTTTAAATTAATAGGAATAATTGCTAAAATAATTTCAAGAAAGTTTAAGTAATTATTCGTGATTCTGCGCTGTTAAAAAAACGTCATATTATGAAAAATGTGCCTTTCAAAATCGATATGGAAACAAACTTTGTGCAGAACACGCAAATGGAACGAATGATCAAGTTACCAATATCGTTTTCTGGATTCGTATTTATAACTTGTGCTTAAAATAGGATATTTATCTCGGCGAATTGACATTTTCGAAGAGGGATGTATTTTAAATACGTTTAAAAATATAATGATATAAATAACAATAAATAAAGGGTAAAGTAAGAGTCAAACACATTTCTTGAAAAAAGTCACACAATTACAAGAATAAATTACAAATAAGAAAAGTAAAATTGAAAAAATATATATAATAAAATAAAAACTCACACACAACACAGTTTAAATACAAATAAATTACAAGTTTCGGCTACCGGATTGAGCCCTCTTCAGACATTAACTTATCGAAAAAATCACAGTACAGAATTAATAATCGCAAATGATCGCATATTCACTATATTCACAGTTCGGGTGAGTCTTGATGTAGAACTCGACATTATTCACATACGATTGAACTGTCAAATGTGTTCCATATCTCTTGGAAAAGTTCTAGTTGATAAAAAAGGATAAAAAGACTTCTTACGAAAAAATAAACGCAACTAAATTAACATATTGGAATTCTAATAAGTAATAAAAACTCACCAAAAATCATGTGTAAATTATTCAAACAAGTGTGTC